TAACAACTTTTTCATCCGGCGACTTTCCAGACCTTTCCCCAACAATAACTGCGTTTTCACACTGCATTTGTCTAAATCACTGTTGCTAGCGGTTAAGATTAAAAAAATTACTTCATACACTCTTAATGTCTATTATTCTATACATAAAAATATGCCGCTGCAAAGCACCTTGTAACCGAATTCTCAAACTTTTGACATAAGCAATATTGTAAAATTAAAAAAATCAATAAATATATAACAATTAGCGAATGTTTAGAATAACGGGGAAAAGTAGATTCCATTTTGTCCTATTTAAAAAAAGCAACGAATTGTTATGTTTTTAATTTTAACAAAAATTCCACTGAAAGTCGTTGAAATAATAATCAAATTTTGCTTAAGCAATTAATGTCTAAAAATAAATTAATGTGACGACTGTCAAGGGAAATAAAAAACTTCAAACAATGTGAAAACCCTGAAAAAATAATTTCGACATTAACTCCCTTTCATTATGAATTATAGAAGACAACTCAAATGAACACTCGTTTGAACGCCCCAGGGCCATCTTGACCAAAGTAATTTGTAAGGCTGAGCCAGTATGTAGGCCTATAAGAAACATGAAGCGATTCATCTATCGAGTTGGTCTCAATATTTTCAAACTAAAATACTCGTTTCTTTTAAGATTTATCATCAGTTTAGTTTTGCTATGGGGCATCCTCAATTTATTTTGTCTGTGGTACATCATCAGTTTAAATGTCTGTGTTTCATCATCAATAGACTTTGTCTGTGGTATATCATCTATTAATCTCATTAACATGATTTGCAAGGCGATTTTTCTAGACCTGCGCAGAATTAGTCAAATCAGACCTTTCTTAACGTTTGATGCAACAGAAAGGCTTATCTCTGCATTCGTGCTATCACGCATGGACTACTGCAATGCTCTCATGGTGTGTCTTCCAGAAGCCATGTATAGAACCAGTAGCATGTACAGAACCAGTAGCCATATATAGAACCATTAGTCATTTATAAAACAAGTAGCCATGTATAGAAACATTAGCCATGTTTAGAAACAGAAGAAATGTTTAGAACCAGTAGCCATGAATATAACAAATAGCCATGTATAGAACAAGTAGCCATGTATAGAACCAGTCTCCATGTATAGAACCAGTATCCATGTATTGAACCAGTATCCATGTATAGAACCAGTAGCCATGTATAGAACCAGTAGCCACGTAAAGAACCAGTCTCCATGTATAGAACCAGTATCCATGTATTGAACCAGTATCCATGTATAGAACCAGTAGCCATGTATAGAACCAGTATCCATGTATTGAACCAGTATCCATGTATAGAACCAGTAGCCATGTATAGAACCAGTATCCATGTATAGAACCATTCTCCATGTATAGAACCAGTAGACATGTATAGAACTAGTAGCCACGTAAAGAACCAGTCTCCATGTATAAAACCAGTCTCCATGTATAGAGCCAGTAGCCACGTAAAGAACCAGTGGCGATGAAGAGGGCACGAAAATTAAAGGCTGTAAAGAGTCAAGAGCTTGACCATAGTATTCAAACCTCTATTATAACATTGGCCAAAATGTGTGGGCTCTCAAACCTCATCATACCTCGCAATTATGGAACAGGTGTTGAGAACGGGGTATGTGGCACAGCTTTTTCTTGTAGATACCAATGTGTTTATACTGTCATTTTGATAGGGGGTGGAGGTAAACAGAGATAAAGGCTAAAAAGGGTTGGAGAGCTCTGTGAGCCGAAACCCATAATTTTTTTTGTGTGATAAATTCACCCCCCCCCCCAAAAAAAAAAAAAAAAATATAAAAAAAATTAAAAAAAATTTAAAAAAAAAAAAAAAAAATAAACGTATTTTTTTTTTCAAATGATTAAAAGGAATGAAAAAAAACTGGAAAAGTTAATTAGATTTAATAAGTTGCTGACATCTGATCAATGAATCATACTTTTAAAAAAGAAAAAGTTAGGTATATGTAGTGTAGTCAGAGTGTAGTAACAATGAGAAACTTGTATGATCACGGCACATGCTATTTAATTTCTTAACATAAGAGTAAAAATTTCACATTTTTATACATGCCCCACCCTTTCCCCATCCTCAAAGTTCTGACATTGTCGTTTGAACCCTGACTGTTTATCAGGCGACCTCCGATGGAATCTTGTCCAACAGATAGAGACACACTGCCCTAACCCTTACGAAATGACAAGATCAGACCTGTTGGTCAGACTAGTTTTTGTGCGTTATTGCTCTGGTTTGGAGCAGTTGCTGGCTGGTAGCAATTATTGGCTGCTGGCTGGTAGGAGTTGCTGGTCGCTGGCTGGTAGCAATTATTGGCTGCTGGCTGGTAGGAGTTGCCGGTCGCTGGCTGGTAGCAATTATTGGCTGCTGGCTGGTAGGAGTTGCTGGTTGCTGGCTGGTAGCAATTATTGGCTGCTGGCTGGTAGGAGTTGCTGGTTGGTAGCAATTATTGGATGCTGGCTGGTAGGAGTTGCTGGTTGCTGGCTGGTAGCAATTAGTGGCTGCTTGCTGGTAGGAGTTGCTGGTTGCTAGCTGGTAGCAATTATTGGCTGCTGGCTGGTAGGAGTTGCTGGTTGGTAGCAATTATTGGATGCTGGCTGGTAGGAGTTGCTGGTTGCTGGCTGGTAGCAATTATTGGCTGCTGGCTGGTAGGAGTTGCTGGTCGCTGGCTGGTAGCAATTATTGGCTGCTGGCTGGTAGGAGTTGCCGGTCGCTGGCTTATAGCAATTATTGGATGCTGGCTGATAGCGGTTGCTGTTTTCTGGCTGGTAGCAATTATTGGCTCCTGGCTGGTAGCATTTACTGGTCACTGGCTGGTAGCAGTTGCTGGCTGGTAGCTTTTGTTGGCTGGTAGAAGTTGCTGGTCACAGCTGGTAGCTTTTTTTGGCTGGTAGGAGTTACTAATTGCTGGCTGGTAGCAGTTGCTGGTTGCTGGCTGGTAGTAGTTGCTGTTCAATTGCTGGTAGCTGTTGCTGGCTAGTAGCAGTTGCTGGTTCCTCTCTGGTAGCAGTTGTTGGTTACTGGCTGGTAGCAGTTGCTGCTTGCTGGCTAGTTAGATTTTTAATTTATATGATATCTATGATTTACTTATAAACTAGTGTTTAAACAAACTTCTATTATGAAATTAAATGACAGAACTTAAAAATGATAGACCACCCTCAACCCCCCTTCCCCCACATACACACACACATATGTCGGCTATTCTTAGTATCTTCAGTTAGTCAGAATGTCAAACGAAATATTAATGGTAAATAGTGAGTGCCACGGTCATAACCAAAGGTGCACATCTTCCCTAACACAAGCACTTTAATATACAATTCAAGAACATTTTCGTTTTGTTGGGTCGGTTGTGCTTCTATTTGCACACAAAAACAAAATGTGAAAAGCAAAATTTTTTCTTCGCTGTTTAAGAGAAAAAAACAACAACAACAAACACAGAGCTCTTGGCAGTGTTCATGGCTAGAAATAGTTTTGCCATAAATGTCTCCAAGATAAACAGGTGGACACGGTCTCCTGTCTCCTTAACCCCATTGTGTTAAGTTAAATGTTGGCTACGTCCCAATTTAACTTCTATGATGATGCCAACTTCATTTAATTAACCAAGTTTCTTTCTCTCTTTGTTATAGTTCGATATGTGGGCGATGGCTTTTCACTAAAGAAGATACTGAACTTCTGTTGGGCGCCTCCCCAGGTGGCGGATAGGGGAAAGCCCACCATATATGGCGGGTAAGAGGCGGACCAAAATCACTACCTACTGTCTTGTAGGAAGTGGAGAGATCCACATACGCCAGGGACCCGACCCAATACAAAGGCAGCTTCCCTGAGAGCTGCAAGGGGCTTCCCCCCAGACGGTTGTGCGCAGGGCTGACGACCCTGTTACATAAAAAAGCAAGTGTTACGAAAGTTAAACCACATACAGAAAAACGGAGTAATAATTTTGGATTTCGATCCCTGTCTGAAAAAAAAGTATGACACCAGTTGGGGGTTCACTCATGGAGGAGGAAAGCCATGGACCGATCCAAATAGAAGGATGTGGTGGAGCAGGCCAGGGCCCAACATGGGATGTAGCGTCACTGATGATGATGGGCGAAAGCTTTTAGCCGAAACTCCCAAGTCATTGTTTTGTTTCATATCTCAAGTTATATTTTGTTCTCATTACGTCCCGTCTCTTATTCAACTGACGTTTACAGAAAAAAAGTCTTTGGGCAAACAACAATATAAACCGCGTGTATGACAGCGGCAGACTTCTCCTTTGTTTATGGCTTCACTCACCGTTACGAGGTGACTGCCATGAAGCAAGACGAGGCTCTTCTATTTCTTACCAAGACGTGGCTCTACTATTTCTTACCAAGACGTGGCTCTTCTATTTCTTATCAGGACGTGGCTATTCTATTTCTTACCAAGACGTGGCTCTACTATTTCTTACCAAGACGTGGCTCTTCTATTTCTTATCAGGACGTGGCTATTCAATTTCTTGCCAAGACGTGGCTCTTCTATTTCTTATCAGGACGTGGCTATTCTATTTCTTGCCAAGACGTGGCTCTTCTATTTCTTATCAGGACGTGGCTATTCTATTTCTTGCCAAGACGTGGCTCTTCTATTTCTGACAAAGACGTGGCTCTTCTATTTCTTACCAAGACGTGACTTTTCTATTCCTTACCAAGACGTTGCTCTTCTTTTCTTACCAAGACATGGCTCTTCTATTTCTCACCAGGACGCGGCTCTTCTATTCATTGCCAATACGTGGCTCTTCTATTTCTTAGGTTAGTTTGTTATCTACCACATGTTCCTCAGCGTATATAGTATATCATAATATAATAAGTAAAGGATAATAATTTTTGAGGGTATAGGACATTAAAAGTTGTGTTATTTTAACTTATTTTAAAACATTGCTTAGTATTTTACACTTGTTTGAATTGTTAAAAAATGTCTTTTTTTAAATTAAGAAAATAAACTCAAGTACTTAAAACAAAGTTAACGAGGAAAGCTGTTTAATTTACCAGGTGATACAACATTTTCGATGTAGTCATTTTACAAACTACTTTGTAATGCCTTAAGTAAACAACTTTAATTTTTTCTTCTGTTGTTCTTTTTTTTTTGTTTCGTAAGTTTACAAGTATACCACTCCCAGCTTCTCCAAATAGGTTCGAGGTTATATTTGGTTTTAAAGCCAGTGAGGACTCTATCGGATGGAATGTTGTAGTTGTGATCGTCTTCGTCTGATTTCCCTGAAAATTGACATCCCGTGAGGTCTTTATCTTTGACCTTGCAGCATAAGGGATGAACAACAATGTCGGATTTTCCATTATATTCCTGTTTCATTCCGGTTACAATTTTGTCACCGGGACACTTGAAGTCAGCCTTGCCCAAGAATGTCATCCCGGTCTTCGCTGTGGTCGTTCCCATGCCAGCCGACCATGAAAAAAAAAGAGAACAGTAAAATATTTAAATGCATTTTCCATTACACAAATTAAAAATGACATTCTTATTCTAAAAGAGAAATAATTTAGTTCACTGTAAAAATATGTTATGATGCAACATGAAGCCAACGGAAACAGCGGCTGTAGTGCATGAAAGACTTGCCAGAAAAGCCCGGGTTAACTCTGCACCTGCAGATGTCCCATCTAAACCCAGCACTTACTGCACACGCATATTTCGTACCAGAACCGCCCCCCCCCCCATGAGCCATCCGCACACCCAAAGCCAAGTTCACAAAAAGCACTTACGATGACCAAGGTTTCATACCCGAGTGAGGCTGGCCAACTATATATATATAGACATGAGAGCTCATAGCGACAATAAAGTCATTGAAGTGTTTTTAGTTGTTTTTTTAATTTTATTTCTCTATAAAGATGAGTGAAGATGGGGGATGGGTTTGGGGAAAAGGTTTGGCGAGGGGTTGGGTTAGCTTAATGTGGAGTCTTCGGGCTCAGGCAATTTTTAAAACAATTATTTAACAAAATTACCGGGTTTCGAGGATGGCGGTAAGAACAATTCTTTTATTATGGTTATGCAGCGGCGCACAATCAACTTGTATGAACACTGAAAATATGCCCCATGTAACGGTTTACAAACTAGAAGAGCTGACCGTAGAGGACAAAATATTTGTACCGCCTTTCAAATTTCAAAGAAAAAGTTTGTTCATATTTCTATGTTTAAAAAAACAACATTTGTTTATATTTCTATTTCAAACAAAATATGTGTACATATTTCTAATTTATACAAAACATTTGTACATATTTCTATTTCAAACAAAACATTTGTACATATTTCTATTTTAAACAAAACATTTGTACATATTTCTATTTCAAACAAAACATTTGTACATATTTCTATTTTAAACAAAACATTTGTACATATTTCTATTTCAAACAAAACATTTGCACAGTTTGCTGTCACAGTTCGTTAGAAGTTTTGTTGGCTATCAAGGATGTTTTCTTTTACACTAAATCAAGAAAAATTCCGTTAGAACTTCTGTCAACTTCGAATTTAAGCGTCCTGTCAAAGATCTTTTGAACCCGAAGGGAAAGTTAAAGTTACAGTTTCAAAAGTAAAATTTGAGAAAACAAAAACAAACCAAGGACTCACGTTCTTCACAATCACTAAATGGTGGCAGATCGTCCTCAGAGCATCCGATGCCCATCCTTTCCACGGGTACTGCATTTAGATAATCTAAGCGTTTGCCGTAACATTCAAAGTCCGGATATTTGTTTGCTTGTTCGGACATCTGGACGTCGACGAAACACAGGAAGACGCAGGCGATGACGAAAGAGATCTTCATGATGGCGGCTTACTCTCAGGAGACTTACCGTCTGACTGATCAGTTGCCTTCGTTTATAAACCTTACGAGGGACGCTAAGTCTTTAGAAGAAAAAAAATATTGATGATAAAGTGAGCTTGGCCATTGGTTCATTATCGATCACGTGATCTTAACTCCAATGAACTTGTGTTTTAATCGACAACGCCATAAAACTCCTTTGCGTTGTTTGGGATAAGTAGTTTTCAAATGACCTGAACTCAGGTTGAACATTGATTTGTTCTGTCCTTTGGTAGACGATTGTGGGTTTAATGGTTGTGTACCAGATTGGCAATACAATTCGAGTTCAGTTAAATTAATTGAGAATCGATTAAAGTATTGATTGTCAGGTTAGATGGTGCGGACGACAATGGACCACTAAAGTCAGAAAACATTTCTTTCAGTGGACCAGGGTCCACCGTGGGCTTGTGATTGTTGTTTTTTCAATGACTCATTCAACAAAAAATATCTGAATTTTATTAAGTTTTTTGTCTTTCTTTTTGTTTTCGTTTTTTGCATTCGTAGCTTTAGAATTGATAGATGAAATGTTGATGGATGAAATGTTGATGGATGAAATGTTGATGGATGAAATGTTGATGGATGAAATGTTGATGGATGAAATGTTGATGGATGAAATGTTGATAGATGAAATGTTGATAGATGAAATGTTGATGTATGAAATGTTGATGGATGAAATGTTGATGGATGAAATGGTGATAGATGAAATGGTGATGGATGAAATGTTGATTTATGAAATGTTGATTTATGAAATGTTGATAGATGAGATGCTGCTAGATGAAATTTTGATTGATGAAAATTTGTTGGATGAAACGTTGATAGATGAAATGTTGATGGATAAAATGTTGATAGATGAAATTTTGACAGATAAAATGTTAATGGATAAAATATTCGTGGATTAAATGTTAATGGATAACATAGTGATGGACAATGTGCTGATAGGTAAAATGATATGGAGTTGAATAAATGTTATTGTATAAAATATTGATTGGTTAAATGTTTTGATTGATAATTTTTATTAGATAAAGTGTTATTAGATTATACATGGATAGTTACATGTTGATAAATAAGATATTGACAGATAAGAGTTTTAGAAGAGCAAACACTAGAATAATTAAAGTATTTAATTTTCTTTAAACCACAGCTTTGCGTGTTTGATGCTGTAATGATATCAGTATTATGCACATCAGAGAACAATGTCACGAGACTTCATTTTCTTTTCATTTCCATTTGTGTCTCCAATGCCATCTCACAATGTCTGCAGTTTTTAAGACCTATTCTTTAACTTGTCGCTATTTGAGGTTCGTTTGTGTGTCGTGGATGTCATTTGTCAAGGCCGTATTTCTCTAGGTGTCTACCATCTCAAAGAATTGAAATGTCCCACATTTACTAGTACCACGACACATTGTGATGAATGAAGGTTTGGAATTAATTTTAAAAAATCGTTCATTTCTCTGAATTTCTTTGTGAATAAAAAAATATTTTTTTTGTGATCTCGAAACAATATATCAAAATTCATTTAAGACAGTGAAAGTAAGAAATGCATACTTCAGTGAAAAACAAATTGAAACAAAATAAAAGCCTTTCTACGTATTCTCCCAAAACTCAACTATATTGTAATTGTAGTGATCTGAGCAAATGAATCGGACACAAAATAACTTTGAAAAAAAAATCGATTTAAAAGTTACTTTAATATCGCAATGTGATTTTAAAATAGGATTTTGTTTCAAAATCTTGGTTTCGTTAAAAAATCAGCCATCTTCAAATAACCTTAGGTAAGTTCATGTTTTGCAAAGAATCCACATTGAGCGTCGTAGCGGCTAGACGTGAAGAAAAGATCATTAAAATTTTTTTGATCTTTGAGCTATTACTGGCGTAGTTAACCATGATCCTAACAAAGAACGCCTCCACTATTTGCTGGCGGTCTTTAGCCGTACATAAAACAGCAAGGTACAAAAGCCGAAAGGGCAAACATTAAATTCGTACCAAATAAAATGTAGGTGTCGTCCGAGCAGATGTTGCCTTAAGTGGAGTTTTATGGCTGGGGCGACTATGAAAGGTATTTGGATAAACAGAAATTAGGATTCTTCAAGCGGGATAGGCCAGCTCGTTTCTAACTATAGATTTTTTTAAAAGTTGTTCTTAAGAAATTCATCCAAGTTGTGAAATTGTTCCTTCTCGGAAAATCCATCCGAATGATGAAATCTCCCATCTCGTAAAATCCATCCTAGTGGTGAAATTTCCCCATCTCGGTTAATCCATCCTTTTGATGAAGTCTCCCAATCTTGGAAAATCCATCAAAGTGGTGAACTCTCTAAATCTTGGGAAATGCACCAATGGGGTTAAATCTCCCAATCTCGGGAAATCAACTCAAGTGGCGAAATCTTTATAGTGGTTAAATCTACCCATCTTGGAAAATCCACCAGAGTTGATAAAATACCTCATCTCGGGAAATCCACCCAAGTGGGAAATTCTGACAAACTAGGGAAATCCATCCAAAATGGTTAAATTTCCCCTTCTCTGGAAATCCACAAGAGTTGTTAAAACTGCCCATCTCGGGAAACCCACCAGAGTTTTTACATCTCCTCATCTCGGGAAATCCATCCAAGTAGTTAAATCTCCCCTTCTCAAGAAATCCACGCAAGTGGTTAAATCTCCTTATCTCGGAAATCCATCCAAGTGGTTACATCTCCCAATCTCGAGAAATCCATCCAAATGGTTAAATTTTCCCTTCTCGGGAAATCCACAAGAGTTGTTAAAACTGCCCATCTCGGGAAATCCATCCAAGAGGTAATATCTCCCCTTCTCAAGAAATCCACGCAAGTGGTTACATCTCCCAATCTCGAGAACTCCATCGAAACGGTTAAATCTCCCCTTCTCGTGAAATCTATCCCAACTGTTAAATCTCCCTTTCTCGTGAAATCCATCCAAACTGTTAAATCTCACCTTCTCGTGAAATCCACAAGAGGTGTTAAATCTCCCCATCTTGGGAAATCAAACAGAGGTGTTAAATCTCCCCATCTTGGGAAATCAAGAGTTGTTAAATCTGCTCATCTCAGGAAATCCATCCAAATGGTTAAATCTCCCTTTCTCGGAAAATCCACAAATTTGACGAAACTTTAATCTAATGAACTGAGTATAATCAATAATGATGGTCACTGTACTGTAAACCACGAGATAAGGAAAAGAAAACAAAACCACATTGCGCCAATGGAATAAACAAAACGTGTTAAAAATATGTTTAATATTGGTTCAATTGAAAGTGGAGGGGCCCAATGGAGGGGTACAAGTTTTTTCTTAAATGTTGCTCAAGTTTAAAAATGTAAATCATCAATGAATATTTTGTCATGAATAGTCCAACTGTATATGGATATAAAATTTTATCATAATAAAGTTTAACGTGTCGCATTAAAACAACTTTCAATCCAGTGACATGCCGGGTCTGCTTCCAAATCATTACCTTACGCTACACTTTAACAAGCGTCTATTCTAGAAATCGCTGGACTTTTATGGGTTTATGCAAAAATGGTGTTTCATACACTCTTTAGGCGTTCTTACCTGTATAGAATTAAGGTCGTACTTCCTGTCATATAGTAAACTGACAAGGAATCCCCTAAATTTAACATGTTTGAATAAATTAAAATGCATTTTTTTAAATATCTTCAGGCTAAGTACATTATCTAAAATATCGGTAACAGTGGATAGATTCGTCTTGAAAGAAAAAATAAATAAATAACAAATTATTGCGTCCATTCCACGCTAAAAATTATTTAAAAAAAAAAAAAATTGCCCTTAAATATATTTGTCTAGTAGCAAGGTGACTAATGTCAAGGGGAATAAAAACTTTCAGAAAAATGTGAAACAAAAACTGCGACATTAACTCCCTTTTATTGTCAAATTAATTGATAAAACTTCAAATGAACAACAAGGTCTGCTGGGCCATCTTGAATGAACATTGACAACCAAACTGTCAGTGATTTTATTCGGCAGTAAGTCTAGATTTCTGTTTATATACCAATTTGTCTTAGGCTCATTTTCTGGAGGGTCTTATTTTCTGGAAGGGTCGTAGTTTCTTGAAACCTCTTTTTTCTCATTAAAAAAAAAAAACATTGTAATTTAAAATAACCTATTTAAAGCTCATTTGGAATATGCATGAATGTTATTTGGTTTGTATGTTAATCAGATACTCTATAACAAAGTGTTTCTCAAAATTGGCGGTACCGTCCTCGGGGAACGATAGAAAATCCTAGGACGGAGTTGGTAAAAGCCACAGTAGATTTAGGGGGTGGTTTTGAATTATATCAGAAAAAAATATTTACATTAAAAATTATATAAAACTTGAGGTCCAGACTGATGTAATATAATAATGGGATTAAAATCGGCTTTGATTGATGAAAGACATGAATCGGAGAGTACAATGGGTGTTAAACAATAAGAAATATTAACAAAACATGGCGACATCAATACATTGTAAAACAGTTGTGAATGCACTTAAAAGAGGATGTGCCAATATTTATAGATATATATAAATGAAACATTCACTGGGTGCAGACGTTTTGTTTATTTACCCTGGCGATACCTGCTAACTTATAGAAATGCATCTTATGTATAACAGCTTGAATAACTAATCGGCTATTGCAGTGATCGGCCAATCCCGGTTCGCGGGCCGCATGTGGCCCTTTAGCGACCAGAGTGCGGTTCGGTAAGTAGGTCACAAATCGGTTTTGACTCAAAAAAAAAAATTGTTTCTTGACAGGTTTTTAAAAAGAATTTTGTCTGTGAATTTTTGTTTTAAAAAAGCGCCCTGCTGCTGATTTATGGCTTTTGTTGCCTAATGAGTTTGCCGACCACTGCTAGAACATACAATCAGGGGCCCAATATGACTAAAGCCTCACGTAACATCGTCAATACATTCATGGGCCCCCTATCACATATGCCTTTCATCACATTGTTTCAAAAATTCAGGGGGCCCCAAACACATGGGCC